CTAATATTTTATGAGAACATTATTTTCCTGGGTGAATTCCATCATATCTGCTTACTCTAATGGCTCATTTGGGGTATGGCTGACAACAAATGTATCTACAGACACATTAATTAACATTAGCTAGCATTAATTAGCTTGCTGAGATATTGCTAACTACGTAGCTTTCACTGCATGAGGTACGACAGGCTGGAAAACATAACTAGTACCCTCAGCTGTGTATTTTCAGATTATTAAATACAAGTGTAAAGCACCTGAAGTCTTGCTGTGAAGCCACAGAATATCTAATCCAGTGGTAAAGGGGATACCAAAATCTAGTTGGCAGCTTAACTTACAGTGGAAACTTCTATTGATGGTAATGTGCAAGGAAAAAAGCTTGTCTTACTCACAGAGGTTAAGATAAAAAAAGCAGAGTTGGCAACTAGATAAAAATGCTGAATATATTTAATTTGAAATCACTTAGGGATACAAACATGAAAGTGAACTGGGCCAATCTACTAGCATTTTTCAAAGAACTCCAGCTTAAGGATGATGGGAATTCTTGGAAGGTGAAGGAGTTGCTTTTTTTGATATCGGTTCTCTGATTAGCCTTGATGTTCCAAGTGCAATCCCTCCTGGATCAACAAATTAAAGAGAGGACTTCCTCTTCAAAGTTCATGCCCAGCATGCTTTAGTATCTCTTTTGATCAGGAACTAAATGTTGAAAGCTCTAGTCTTTTTTCCCCTTGGAACGAAAGCTACAGGTCTGGGAGATTATAGTCCTGTCTCTCCTGAATGAAGTTCCTCAGATGTTAAACTGAGATTACATAAAATGTGAGCTTTGCTTTTTTCTTGTTAGACAACATATGCATGTGAGTGGCAGTCCTCACAAATACACAATGGACACTTTAGCTGCCTTGTTGACTCTTATCTTTGTTTCAAGAGGAATTCAGCAAATTAACTGTATCTCCTTCCAGATTTATTCCTAATTTCACCTATATAACAATTCTTGTAACCTGAATATTGCCCTACTTTTAGGATAAAGAATTTTGTGCCCATGAGTAAATTTTTTTCTGGTAAAAAAAGAGAAAAAAAGCAGCTCAGTGTACTTTTTTATTCCTCTTGGGGCAGCATTTGAGACAATAGCTAATGCTTGGTTTGAAGATGGTTTTAAGTACGTATTTGTTTTTATCCAAGTGTTCATTTCAAATGTGTGAGATGATTTTGTATTTGCTTCCTTAATAGAATTCCACCCTTCTTCCTGTTGTCCTGTTGTCCTGGGACAATTAGGTTCCAGGTGGTAAACCCAGCATCAGTGGATTATTATTACTTGTCATGTAGAATTAATTAATTTTCATTGCAGCATTCTAATTTGTAGGCTGCCATATAAAATTAGAGGCCATTCCCAGCCCCAAAGAACTTTAAACTTAAGTATAAAATAAGAGGTGAATACTGCAAAGAGTCGAGATGACCCTGTGGTATTGATGAGAGAAACTACAGTTCTTGATAAGGAGCAATCACAATGCAGCATGTACCCAAACATTATAAATGTTTTGTTAGTGATACGTCACAAGACAGGATGAAAATTGAATGTGCTTCTTGAAAAATTGGACAAATGGACAGCTGAAACCTGTGTTATTGCTTGAAAAGAGGCAGGAGCCATTATTCTTATTCGCATTATTAAAGCTGATGGGTAAGAAGGCAAGTGGAAGGACTTTAAAAGTGGAGATAAGTAGTTTTGGTCTTATATCCTTCCTCATGTTTACTACATTGGCAGAAAATAAGTTCTATTCCTGTGTTGCTGAAAATTATCATTGTGGCAACTCCACAAATTCCATTTTTGCCTCAATATTCAGGAAGTGGTACTGAATCAATGCATTTCATACTTGTAAGGAATTCAGAAGCGAGCTGCTTATTTTATAATACCTATAAAGAGATGTAGGATATACAGGTCCCTAATTTTTTTGTTGGACAAAGAGGAGAAGGGAAGAAGAAAACCAACATAAAATTATAGGCAGCTGAACAAAGATACAATGTGAAAAAGGTGTGATAGCCTCTGATAATCATTAAATCTGCAAAAGAATGCTGGTACACTGGGTGTTTATTACAGTAATTCAAGATGTTTCCGGGAATACGGAGGCTTCTTTTTCATCTGGCCTGTACAATTAATGACTCAAGCTTTCTGTTACGAATCCTTAAATTGTTCTGCTGTCTTATGAACAAAAAGAAATGCCTAGAAGACAGTAGTAGAGTCTACTTTTCCGAACTTCTTCAAATACCTTCTCTGTCCTGAAGATGCTGCCTTTTCTGTGAGCTCTCTAAGGAGCTATGGTAGCAATTTCCTAGACATCCTGTATTTACTAATTTATAGAATGGTTAGTTTTGAATAAGGATTTGAATTAATGATGAGTCGCAAGTCTAAAGTATTTATTTCATATTAATTGAAACCCAGAGCCGTAGCATTTAGTGACCTGGTCCACAAATATTTACCATACACATAGTGCTTATAATTGTAAGTCATGCATGGAATTATTGATTGCTCACAGTAATGAGTACTGTGCCAAATGCAACGGGTGTCACAGGATCAATTCTTCTGTCTCTGTTCCTATCACAGTTACAAACTGTATACGCAAGTCATATTAAAAGTACCTTCATATTGTTTTGAGGTTTTTTTTCTTCCTTTGTCTTGTTCTTTCCCGAAGATCTCTTCACATTCCCACTGTAGTTCTTGCTTCTGACATTGACATATGTCTTTGAGGCTTGTCAACATAAAGCAGCAGGTGGTCCCAGAGCTGAGCTTTGCTCCCTCCAAACGGCTCTCAAGCAGAGACCTGTGAGCAATTATTCAAACTAGCCTCTCAAACAGCAGTACCTGAGGTGCATGTTTAAATGTTTTAATTACCTCAATGGGGATAAGGCGTAGGAATTTTTGAGCAGGATCAACGTAGCAAAATTGCCAAGGAACTTCAGATGCTTTTCTATAAGAAATTGCCTTCTATTTTATGCAGCTATCATGCCAGGATGGCAAATGCATATTACTTTCTTAAGAATGGAAAGAAACTATCAGAAACAAAAAGGATACAGAAGCTAACCCAAAAATTGTGGATGACCTACGAAATTGTATTTCTAGATATGAACTTTCTTAAGTACAAAGGCAGGAAAGATTTTGGTTCTGGGTTATCTCCATCCAAAACATATTAACAACAAATTCCTATTTCCTACAATAAAATTAATTCTATTGATCCTTGATTAGGAGTAGTTTAAAAACTGGTGTCCTTGCCTAAACCTTGCCTAAAAATGTGCTCTATCACAGACAGCATCTCAGGAAACTGAGCTCACAGTGGGGAACTAAAGTCTCTTTAGCCATCCATGAACATCCCTCTTCCCTGGTTCCTTTGGGACATGGTTACTTGACTTTCCAGAGAAGAGGGCCTGCTAGCATTCACCTTGTGGAGTTTACCTGAGTAGGCCTCTACCCTAAGTAGAGGACTAAGGGAGCAGGGGATGTAATGCACCTTTCAGTGGGAAGTGTGGTGCCTCTGCAGGACACGGTTCTGAATTTTGGTTGTTCCTACCACACGATGGTAGGAAGGTAACGCTTAGGAAACTCTTGGCTTCTGCTAAGAGTGATAAATTATAACGATAGGCAGAGGCAGGGCAAAATCCTGACTATATCATTACATTGTCACAACATCCACTATACAAGCATGCTTAGTGCTTAGCTTATAAAATGCAGTCATTTATAAGTACTTTTTTTTCCAGCATTTATAACCTTTTTATAACCTAATTTATAACCATTTATAACCTAAAGTGCCCACAGGTTTGAAATGGGATGCTCTTCTTAGGATGAGCATCTGGACAACAATCTTTTTTCCCTGTCTCCCAATCCATTTTGGAGTTGAATGTGTCCAGTTAAAGTACTAACAGTCAGCAATCCTTGTGCTCAGGGTAGACACACTCTCAGCTCATACCCAAGCTCTCAGCTTTGCTACCCAAGGATTTGATGAGTGACTTGTGTTGCAGAAGACTGCTGCTGTTGTTGCCCTGGGCATGGAAGACAGACATCTGTCAGGAGTATTGATCCTCACCAAGTGTGATGCTACTTCCAAGTGGCAGGAGAATTACAGGGAGGCATGCATTCCATATAGGAAACCAAATGAAAGGGAAGGAAAATAGGTTTTCTGTTTCTTCTCAACGCATCTGACTAGAATAAAGGCACAATCCTTCCCTACATTTCAAAGCAGGCGCTTTTACAGCGTTGTCAAAGGAAACACACAGGATTCAAAGTAGTTGAGGGAAGCAAACGGTTATGTTAGCAAAAGAAAATATATATGGAAGTTAGCGAAATATGTTTTCCTTCTCTGAAGTAGATGACGATTATGTTTACAAAAGGATCTGAAGCATATCCATATTCAAATATTTACAGATAGTACTTGCCTCTCCCAGCACACAGCCACTGGCTACTTAAACTCAGTCTGTGGGCCTTGCCTGCCCGTGAGCTGGGGCTGAAGAGAGGGAGAGGTTAAGCAATCATTTGCAAGCCCATCTCTGCTGGTAGGATTGGTATCATTGTGTGTCTTGAAGCCATAATCTGAAGGATGTGAAAACTTCATCACCTCTACTACTTTGAAAAATGCATCAAAATATACCATGTAATTCTACCTCAGCAAAATGAAAAGTCGTGAATATTTGAAATGTGTAAGCAAGAACAATCTAGATAATTATTTAGGACCCCAATGACTGTCATTAGCAATAATGATGATGAAATTAACAAGTGAAAACAAAAAAGGAGAATATGAGGAAAAACTTGCTAACCATGAGATATCTTAAATTGTTTAAGAGTTTTGTGAGGTATGGTAGAAACTACATCATGTGAAGCAATTAAAATTTGCCAAATTAAAGCATTCAGAAACACACAGTACAAAACAAAGCAGTTTTATATTGTCAGGGGGGTGAACAGGTTATCTACTGTCTAGTTTTTAAGCTCTTCATTTGAGAAAAGAAAGAATTATGTACTCAAAATATTTGTCTTGTTTTCCTTTTCAGCACAAATTGAAGTGATACCATGCAAAATTTGTGGTGATAAGTCCTCTGGAATACACTATGGAGTCATCACATGTGAAGGCTGCAAGGTATGAGATTTTAACACAGTCATCAGCATCTGCATTAGCCTCAGGCATCTGTGTACAATAATACACTCTTACACGTTTTCAAGCAAGTGGTGCCAAAAGCTGTAAAGCCTGCTGCTGATATAGATGTTTCATGCTTAATTTTACTAGTTGCTTTCTTTTTCATCAAATAGTCTTTAGAGTTACCTCCTCATCTGAAACATGAATTAATAGCATCTGATGCAGTATTAAGTGCTGTTACAGAGGCTAGCAACTGTAAGTCACACCTGTTCTACCATAAATCAGCTTGAGAGATGGATTTCTTATCTTGTTTCCTATACAATCTATGTAGCATTAAAAGCTGGCGCGGTATCTTAACATCTTAAAAGCCTACAGGTGTCAGTTTGGTCCTATTTTATCCCCTTTGTATTCTCTGCAGGCTAAATTGTAACCTCCAAAAGAAAAAATGCCTTACATTATGAGTAGTGTAAAAGGATCCTTTGTCTTCTTCCTTACATGCTCCAGCACGGAGCAATTGCTGGGAATTGAAGGTTAAAAAAAAAAAAAAGGCAAAAAACCCTTCCATGTTGCTTAGTCATATTAATATAATATCCCAGGCATTAGTTCAAATAACACAACACAAGACAAGAAAAGCTTCAGTTTTCAACTTTAAAAATACTCTGTGATTTTATTATCTAAGGAATTATATCATTACTCTTGGAAAACGAGAATTTCATATTACATGTTGGTATTTCAGCTTTGACAGTAAGTGTGAAATTGCAAAGATGGAGAGGCAGCATCTCTGATTTCTTCTATGTGGAAACACACAAACTAGTACGTTTGAAAGAGGACGCATATTTGTAGAGTGAAACAGCAGGTCTGTATTTACTCAATACTTCACGGAACTTCAGAACATTTGAAAAACCTGAAAGTTCGGGTGCACCCATTCCCAAAAGAAAGCTTTTACTGTCAACACGTTGAGAAACAACACAGTGTCAAAGATCAGATTTCTTTCAGAAATGTTAACAATTGTAAACGGAACAACCCGCAGTGTGTCACTGCCTTATTGTGACACTGGACTAGAAATAAGCGTCTTCTTATGATGATCACATGAAACAGGATTAGACTAATTGATGTGATACTTCAGAATTGGCACAAAAGCTACAGGAGAAAAATGGTTTAAGCAGAAAAACAGTGTCTTAGTGCCCACAGAGCAGTTAGGGGTAGAGTCTCCTGTAGATGTGATTAGGGTTAATGCTGGCGTTTGTGTGTGCCCCAAGAGGAGATGATACCCCTCAGCTCTGTCTGTAGACTGCTTACTGAGATAAAGAGCTTCTCTTCCACTTACGACAGTTTTAGCCCTATTGTTTTTGTGCCAGTTTTGCAGTATCAGAACAATTAGTCTAATCTTGTTTTGTGTGCCTATTGTGAAAAAAGATGTCAGTTTTCACATGGGGTCCGATGGGAGGCATCTCAGACTGTCAGAGCTCTCTTTTAAGGTAAGCACTGTCTCAGGCAGTGCAACTCTGCTGTTCATTGCCCAGCAATTAAATAAGTATTTGCTCGGCCCACATACTAATAACTTGTCATTTCTGGCTCCTTTTGTCTGAATGCGTTAGAAATCTGAATTAATTAAAAGGGAGACCATGTGTGGAAGAAAGAGATGAGAACTGCTCCACAAGCATGCACACAGGTTGAGCCAGGCACCAGACAGCCACAGCGTTTCAGGACACAGCGTCCAAGGACTGTACTGCCAGTGGCTGTGCTACAAACTTCAAGGAACAGGGAATCCTTTCACTCTGTGTCCTTACATTAGCTATGCCACTGCAAATGCATATTATAAGTGCTTAAGTGGTATCATAAATATTACTGCTGTCCCGTGTTCATGCCTGCATATGCTGAATAATGTGCTAGACCCACTGAAGAAAATGGTGGCTCTGCCACTATCGTCACTGAAGGTTTCCATCCTGTCTGTCTCTGTGGCTCCCTCTTTTGCTGAGAAGCCTTTTATCATCTCTCCTGCCTACCCCCAAAGCAAAGCATTTGCTATCACTCTTTTGTCGTGATTTAGACAGTAGTTCACGTGACCGTTTCTCTTCTCAGACTGACTGTCGGTGATGGATAAAGTGAGTTGTTCAGGATGCAGAAAGACTTGTTGTCTGGGTTGGGAGTATTGGGAAATCTGTCTTTAAGTTTGTAGCTCCTCGGTAACGAACTGCATCCTCCTTCTCTCAAATAGAATTATTCTCAGTAAATATAGCCAATATTATATAAAGATCCCCCAAAAATGAAATGAAAGGATTGTCTGTACTTTGTAAGACAACATTTAGATCTTATGCAGGAGAAAGAGAGTACAAAAGTCTCAGAAAAATAAATTACCTGCTGTAGATTAATTTTATTATGTAACCCTTGATTTTTTCCTAAGAGGGGCAAAGAAGGAACAAACAAATTCTTCTGAGATGAGATCAACCTTAATGAGGAAAAGCAGCACTACAGGATAAGGCACAGTCAATGCTAGATGGTTCTGTGGGGTTTTTTAACTTTATTTAATTCATTTGTTCTCTCAAATCCATATCCACATAGGAGCTGCTAAAATCTAAACCTTTAAACCAGAAAATCCTTTGCATGTTAAAAACAAAACTGGCTGTAAAGTTCAGCAAACAGAGTAGAAATGTCTGCAATTAGTGTCCATTTAGTCTTAAATTAAATTCAGCTCCACGGTTTCAGGAGAGTTTTGGTCAGCCAGGATCGGATAAGTCCCTACCAGATTTTTTTCTGAGAGTTCCCCTAAAGGATATATGTGTTCTCAAAAGTGCAAATCATAAAACTTAATTTAGTTTTTAGAGGTACTATAATCACTGATAAAACCAGCACGGGCCAGATGAAGTGAGTCTCTTTACGCTCGACCTCAGGAACAAGCGCTGCCGGTGTCCTTGGTGGGACACCATGCCTGTCACCTGTTGTCACTGACATCCTCATTGGGTTCACCATTCACTTCACTTGAGTGAGAATGCAGGCACTACATGTAGCAAGCGAATGGAGCCTTGTTACTTCCCCACTCTCATTCCCCCAAAACACACAGCTGCCGCGAGTTCTTGTATTACCGTCTGTCTTGTATTACTGTCTACCTGCAGAGATAACACTGGCTTTGCCTGAAAAATGAAGTCAGCTCTTGCTTTCTGGCTCCATTCAGAGCTGTTTGCAAACCAACCCAGAAAGGCACGACTTTGGCATCACTTCTGGTGACTAGTGTAACTGCAGTAATGATGCTTTCTGCCCTTTTTCTCCTCACGGTTTCTTGTGGTGGCTAGGTTGTCCTTCAGCTCTCCCACCACACAACCCTGCAGCTGCCTGCGTCTAAAGATGCCAACGTGGAACTTCTCTTCATTGTTTCTTTCTCTCTGGACTTGGTGTTCCTACTGTCCTTTATTTTTCAAGAAAGACAAGAATATTATAAAATGCTCTCTCTCCCTCTTTCTTCCTCTCTATAATCCTCACCTCCTGGTTTCATTCCTCTTGTCACCTCTGCCATTTCATGTCACTTCTACCATAGCGGTACCTCTCGGTGTTGTTCATAGCAGCTGGGAGCTTGTAAGGCCTTAGGTATGGGTTAATACTCTCCTCCCAGCCTCTGATCTTTAGCCAAATAGCCCACAGCTGGCCAGAAAAACCTTCTAGGAGATAGAATAACTACACATTTCTACATAGATAAAATGGATAATGTTATATTCCATTGAAATGGAAAATGTCATTACTTTCTCATGGTAGTGTCTAAAGGTGTTGTTTTCTCCATTGTGTGTTGGCTTTACTTGATACAGTCATTAAATCCTAGTGCTTTTGTGATGCTTGAATTTTAATTACTTTTCACTCCTGAAGTGTATGGTCCCTCCAGATCAGATCAACATTTGCCAGGTTAAATTGAACAACAGATTTCAGCTTCTAATGCTATGCATAGCCAGTGCCGGTTATAACCAGGCTCTTTCATTACAGCAAGAAAATAGTCAGAACAAGTACTTTTGAGTCATCTGTTTACAAATGCTGATAAGCTTTTCCTCTATTAGGAGTAAGTGTTAGATGATACATGGTCATTATTGCACAATAAGAATGCATTCTGTAATATTATTGTTTGCATTTTAACAAAGTAGAACTACATTCTTTACAAAATAAAGCACAGTTCTCCTTATTATAAGTAAATGTTCTTTAATTTTACTTTACAAGGCCAACATATCAGCAAAGCCATAGCATAAGTAGCATTGCACTAAATAAGAGTTTACTGTAGTTGTTTACATGGTTCTCTATGTGTGCGTGCACATATATGCACATGGTAATACTCTCTTTCTCTTGCTCTCTTGCCTTTAGGGATTCTTTCGGAGGAGTCAGCAGAACAATGCCTCCTACTCCTGCCCAAGGCAGAGAAACTGTTTAATTGACAGAACCAACAGAAATCGTTGCCAACACTGCCGACTGCAGAAATGCCTTGCCCTGGGAATGTCTCGAGATGGTAAGGAGTCAGATTCCTGCTTCACGCCTAAACCCTTTGAAACTCTTCTTCTGACTGCTGACTGTCGTGGTTTAACCCCAGCCGACAACTAAGCCCCACACAGCCGCTCGCTCACTCCCCCCGTTGGGATTGCGGAGAGAATCTGAAGAGTAAAAGTGAGAAAACTCGTGGGTTGAGATAAGGAAAGTTTAATAGGTAAAGCAAAAGCCATGTAAACAAGCAAAGCAAAACAAGGAATTTATTCACTACTTCCCTGCCCACCCAGGCAGGTGTTCAGCCATCCCCAGGAAAGCAGGGCTCCATCACACATAACAGTGACTTGGGAAGACAAACGCCATCACTCCGAACTTCCCCCACTTCCTTCTTCTTCCTCCAGCTTTATATGCTGAGCATAATGTCATATGGTATGGAATACCCCGTTGGCCAGCTGGGTCCCAGCTGTGTCCCCTCCCAACTTTTTGTGCACCCCCAGCCTACTCGCTGGTGGGGTGGGGTGAGAAACAGAAATGGCCTTGACCCTGTGTAAGCACTGCTCAGCAGTAACTAAAACATCCCTGTGTTATCAACACTGTTTTCAGCACAAATCCAAAACACAACCCCATAAAAGCTAATATGGAAAAAATTAACTCTATCCCAGTCAAAACGAGCACACTCACTTACTTAAATTCCCTGTAGATTTCTGGAAAAAGAGAGAGGAGAAACTCCTTGCTTTGGAATGCATGCACTGTGAGGCACGGATCTTTGCCATTCAGTTAACAAAGGAGGCTATTTTCATGGGGAGGGTCGGGAAATCACAAAATGGAGAGCAGTATTAGTTTGGAGCAGAAAGAGTCAGAAGTGAAATGTGTTGTTCTGATCAAAAGCACAAAAAGGTCACCTCTGAAGAGGTGGATATTTATTCCAGTTTAGATAACCTCTTGTATTAAACATTAACATTTATCTTAACATTAAATATTGATGTGTGAAAGCATCCCTTTCCTTGAAATCTCTAAAGGTCTGTGACAGCAAATAGGCACTTAAGAAGAAATTTACACCTTGATAGAATTAGGGGTTTCTCTTTGTTTTATCTGAGCACTTGACCAAATATTTTGCATTGCTAAAAAAACATTTCTTTCACCTGTGCATTGTCCCCTGTCCCTGTCTGGGTCTATAAAAGAAATGTTTCATAGTTTAGCACTGAAAATGGGCCTACGCCAGAGGAAAGCTCCACAATGTATCCGATAGCTGTATCCTTCAGCCCTTACAGAGCTCTGGTCCACCTTGCAAACTGTGGTGTGACGAGTTGTGATCGGCAGGCTGAGAACGTGCATCACACCAGAGCTGCAGGCAGTGGGAGGCTTGGGCAAGGCTGCCTACAGCCGACTTGCCCCAGTCACCACTGCTTGTGCAGGGCAGAGACACGTTTCTCCAGCTCACAGATACGTTTCAAAAGGTCAGGAAGTATGAGAATAAAACGTTCTGGTTTTGAAGGCAGGTTATATTAATTTTTATTGCCTGGCAGCAGTTTTCTGTCTTAGAAAGTTTACATAAAATGTGTCATTTGAAACTAACAGTCATTGATGGAGAAGTTACTTAAAGAGCTATTTCTTCAGATGGTCCACAGCTTATAAACTCGTTCTAAATTTGCACTGTAATAGGTCTTTTCTTACCTCAGTGTGTACCATGTCTCACTGAAACAACTTGCTCACCAGTCTCCCCAGTCTGGGAGGGACCTTGCAGTCTAGCCTTTAATCTATGAACCCTTTTTGGTCCTAGCATGCAGCTTACTTGATGCCTTAGCTCCCGATTCTTCCCGGAGGAGATTGAAGTAGTAACATTTCAGTAATTTAACATCACGTGCTTTCCTTCTAAAAGTAGTATCTTCCAATGATTTGAGGCATCACAGGGACATTTTAATGTGACTGACAGCACTGTGTTCCCAACCTATAATTCAGGGACCATTGCGTACAGACAAAGGGAGTGATTCTTCTGACAGCATCACTTTCTTCTGTCATTGTTTATGTAAGGGTGTTTATACTTAATGACATTAAAAGCTCTTGCACGTTTAAAATAGGCTGTATGGATTTTTTTAACAGAGAAATTGAATGTGATTTTTACCTCTCAGCCATGTAACAGATTCATTTTTATCATGCGGAGGCAGGATGCTAATTGACAGCAGCTGGAGAATCCAATTAATGAATATATAATGAGAATAAACAGTGGGTGTTTGTTTTTATTACTGAGGCTCTAAATTTGAAGAAAATACACAGTTGCATTTTTCAAAATACAGTCATTGTGTATTGTCCATAAGGGTGTGCAGTGCACCATGGACTGATTCCAGGGGCAGGCTGTGTTCGTGTGAGGAAGCTTGCAGCCTGTGTGAAGGGCTACGAGTAAGCTGAGGTTAGTGACAAGAAAAAAAACTTCTTAGTGTAAAAAAGTGCAAATAAATTGAAGAGGCTGCTATCTCCTTGGCACTCTGGCACTGCCTCTTCCTATTACGCTAAAATCCTGACTGAAGATTTTCACATTCATCCACACGTGTAGGCTCAGACTCTTCTGGAGGTCTATAGCTGAACTATGGGGTAGCAAAAAAGAGAGAAAAGCCTATCCTGTGCTAATAAATGTGATGATTCTGAATGGATCCCAGTTGCGGAGGGACTGGAAGTACTCAGCATTGGAAAATACACCTCACAATACATAGAAATTAGTATTTCCAGAGCAATGTCCTCTTATCTGTTATCTGATAAATTCTGCCGAATGTATCCCTCTTTTAGTTTAGAGCACAATTAACAACTATCTCTGCTCTGAGATCCCAAGATCTAGCCCAGTAGAAAGCCAGAACTTACAGAGAGATGGGAGGAGGGGGTGGAGGAAGATAATCAGCTGTGACGCACTGTATATGCAGGCTGTGGATTTACTCCTCCTAGTTCCACAGCAATCAGCCTATCATTTTTGAAAATTTCAATCTCGGTGTAATGAACACTGTTCCTTGGGAGAGTGGTTTGCAATCTGATATTTTCCTCCCTTTCCCATCAGAAGGAATGCATGGATTTGTGCATGGAGATTATGTAAATTGATTGTGTAAATCCCTGAGACTTTCCTCTGTGGAAAAGATGACAGTCATTTGTGCTGTTTACCTTCAAATCTGTTATTTTCCTCTAGGTTCTAACTCTAACCTGTAAGATTTTTTTTTTTTTAAAAGGTGTGAAGATAACACCCCCTTGAAAGGATGTGATAATAGGGCTTTAGCGCTTGTTTTCATCCAGAGTACTAATCCTGTTAGTGCACTGTTCAAAGGTTTGTGAAAAGTTGGTAAATCACATGGGATATGAATCTACAGACTGTACATTTCATACAGCTCTGGGTTGTTGTTCAGTGAACACTGAGATATAAAAGGATGCATGGTCTTTTTAACATTCACAGTGTGAAGTGAGTTGCTTGACTGAGGCCCTCCTGTCAAATAGGAGTCATTGTCGTCACCTTGTAAATCCAAGCACACACTACTTTTTCCTTTGTGAGAAGCATATGGTGTAAAGCTTTGCATCCTCTCTCATTTCCACAGAAAAAGACAAGTTTCCACAGCAAAAGTAACGGTGAAAGTAAATATCAAAAGAGTGGTGGGGTTGAGGGGAGTCAAGAAAAAAATGAAAGACAACAATGGTTTGCACTGTGCTTTGCTTTTCAGCTGTGAAGTTTGGAAGAATGTCCAAAAAGCAGAGGGATAGCCTGTATGCTGAAGTGCAGAAGCACCAGCAGCGACTGCAGGAACAGCGGCAGCAGCAGAGCGGCGAGGCAGAAGCCCTCGCCAGGGTTTACAGCAACAGCATCAGCAACGGCTTGAGCAATCTGAATAATGAAACTGGCAGCACCTACTCAAATGGGCACGTCATCGACCTGCCGAAGTCTGAGGGTTATTATAACGTGGATTCTGCCCAGCCTTCCCCAGACCAGTCTGGGTTAGACATGACTGGAATCAAACAGATAAAGCAGGAACCTATCTATGACCTCACCTCTGTACCAAACTTGTTTACCTATAGCTCTTTCAACAATGGGCAATTAGCTCCGGGGATATCCATGACTGAAATAGGTAAGGAAAATTCTTATTCCTGTAGGGTAATGTGTATATATAAGGTGTCCTTATTAAAATACTATATAGACATTCCATACACAGGTACACAATAATAGCATGTTCACACGTGTGTATATGTGCACACACATACAGAGAGTAAAGGAAAGAAAACCAGTCTGGCAGTAATTGACACCATATCGAGGCAGTTCTGTTTTTATCAAAATCTGCAAATTATGCAGTTTCTTAAACTCAGCAATTCATGTTCTGTTTATGAAATAGGAGTGCCAAAGCAGGTGATGAATCAATCAGAACCAAGTGATAATTAGTAGCAGGGAGCTTGTTTAAAAGAGCTCATTACTAGCAGGGTTAAATGATCTCTTCAGCCAGCCAGCCGTATTCTTGTCAACACCAAAATCCCCATGGCAGCTAATTCTAGGGTATTTATTGTCAAAAAGCACCAGCTCGCTACTTCTGGTGTGTGGATGTACATGCACAGCAAGCTCACTGAATTCATGAGATGCACAAACTCTGAATGTAGTTGCGTGGGTACCCCTGCTCCTCTGCTTGAATGCCCTGGAGAATCTGTCCCTTGATTTCTTCTTTGAAAAGTAGCAAAGAGACCTCTCTGTGAGACGAGACAGTTTGAAAGGCAACGGCTAACAGTGATTCTTCACCAAGAAGGAATTCTGTTTATCTAATGCCTCTAGTCATACCTCTCCAAAGCAACTGGAAGTACTACTTCTATTGTAAAGAAATAACATGAAAGAAGATTGGCATCCTAATTAGGTACTTCCCACCCCAACAAGTGAAGTATGCTGAATCAGTTGTGGTTGAGAATATAATCAAAGGGTAACACTTTGTTAATGGAATTTAATTAAAAAGAAAGAAGAAGGGAAAAAAAAAAAGATGGTATTCAAGAGCACCCGTAACAAATGAATTCATGTCATGTCATAAAAAACCTCTATAGTTCTGGCCTGGCCTTGCTGGCTCATGGATGTAAACTGAGATGTGTAAATATATGTGTGTACTCAGACCTGCTGAGGGCCCTGGAGATGTGGCATGCACTTGATATGCATTGCAGAAAGGGTGTGTGCAGTAGTTACTGTCTGATAAAAAAATGAAGGTGCAGCTAGAATCTGTAGCATGTTTTCTACCCACGGATGCTTATGTGCAGGAAGCTGTGTAACAAATTGTGTGCTTTAGTTGCAAAATGCTCAGAGGAAAGTTATGTTTTTCTGCCACTCTGTTTAGCGGGATACATTTTGTTACCAATTTTGGCCTAGGCTGCTCTCCAGTGAAGTCCTACATCCACAGCATAGCAGTACAGAGGATTAGTGAGGAACATCTGCTCCAACTTCCCTCTCAGCTCCTGTGGCCGTAGCAATATTACTCATGTGCAGCTTGTGCAAACCTCAGTCCTGCAACAGTGGTTCACGGTACTCCAAATCAGCTGAGAGACAATTTAAACAGTCATAAGAACTGTTTCCCTGCAGCACCCTGTACCAAAGGGGAATTTTCCCAGAGAGACTCAGAGCAGGTACCAGAAATACGACAATTCTGATAGTCCATAAATTAGGGTTTGTACTCAGTCACAGAAGTGAGCCCAAAGAAAGAATATGGCCGTGGGACTATATTCTTAGTGCCTAAAGGTTCCTACTGAAGTCAATGGGATCTTCTGACTCATGGACGTTTAGAGAGTCATTTAGTTTGAACTCTTGCAGGATTGCTTAGAAATAATGCATCATTCTTAAATTTTCACTCTTTTTTTTTCTCTCCTAGCCCTAAACCAGCCAGCCCTAAATCCACCCCACACTTCCCAGTCTTTCATCCTTTGTGTCATCTGGCCACTGTTCCCCTTCTGGAGCACACAAAGCAGGGAAAACCCCAGAGTTCAGGGAGCAAGACTGTTTCTGAGCTGACAACAAAATTCGGGTGCTGGGATTTACCTCTCTTCCTTTTGAAATTGGAAGTGGGGCTCCTAAATTGCTAGGATTTTACCCAAACACTGTTGTATGTCATTTGCGGCACCTACAGCAGAGAAGTAAGGGTGTTAGTGAGAGATAATATAATATAACAGATCAGCTGACACAGCCAAAAAAAACGGAAGAGATGTTCCACAAAATATTGGGATTAGTGCACAGGCGAATCATATTTTCAGTGTTCAAAAACAAACAGAAAATGCCTCTCAATGCTGCAGCGGATTGTTGGACCATCTGTAAAGCTGTAGTCTTGCAGGCAAAGCAGGAAAACTCTAAGCACTGGGACGCATTGATTTCATATTACAGTGTGTTTAAATTTGACCGCAGCGTTGTATCTTACTCACTCCAGTGAGTGAGGAATAAGCTCAACTCATGTTAAATAGAAGTTACTGCCTTAGCCATTAGATGAAATCATAGAGAATATATGGGAGATGGAAAAGCTATACTGCATTGATCCTCATGCCTGATAGAAATTTCTTTATACTACATTGTCTAGTGATATACTGAACCATTGCTTTAAGTGTCCCAGATCATGTTAGTTCTTTTCCTCATTGAAGACCTTATACCAGACTCAAATTTCCAGTCTTAGTTTTCCTCTGGTATTTATATTCTTCCAATATATGTATTTTTTAAACACAACCTCGCTTGCCACTTGCCTGATCTCGAGTGCAACCTTCTTAATTTTTTCCTCATAAATGAATGCGTGAGACTCCTTCCATCCTTGAGCTCCTAAAAGTTGCTGTAAGCTCTCCAAGGGACAGACTTCTTCACAGGCAGCCCAGAATCAAAGTCGTCTTTGCAGCCTCTGCATCGCATGCCAACCGGTATCCAGTTCACTTCAGTGTTATTGCTTTACTTGTTTCTCACTTAATTCTGTAATGTATAGGGCAGTTTTTATTAAGATACCTCTGACTGCACATTTGCAAGTTTGCATCTCATTTTCTCTTTCTTATTTTTTTAACTTTTTCAATCCTGTTATGTTATGTTTCCGTCCTCATTGATGCTTTGTGACTTCTTTCAACGTAGAATTATCTCTTCATTTAATTAGCATGCTGTGAACCCTCTCTTTCAGATTATTAATGAAAATGTTAAATGCTTGTAAAACAAGTTCTAACAATGGTCTCTGCTGCACCTGACTAAACAACTTGCTGCAATTGCATAAATTACTTTAGTATTTACTTTTTGCTTGCTATGCTTGTAAGGTTCTCTCAAAAATCCAAATAACAAGTCTTCTTTTCCCTGTCGGTTTGATTCAGTTGTAAAATTAATATTTCCTAAGAAAGTCTATGACATAATTTACACATTACTTACATTCTTTTCTTCACATGTTAATTTTCTAATTCCACCAAAAGGAATCAAAATGGTCAGGCCTACTTTGATCTTTAACAGTTCTATGCTTTAATTTGAATGTGAAAGTGCTCCTTTTCCTGAACATACCTTCATCGACAGTAGACTTCGTAGTGGAAATGGAAATTGTTCAACTTAACAGTTTTGAAATTCAAAATTTTTACACAGCAAATGTTTCAACACATAGTATTAGAATGGCACAGCAAGCAAAATATAGCTTATCCTGCATTGCATGCTTACTAGTATCTCTAAACACTGTACCAGGGAACAAGTGTAGGAGAAAGAGGTGCTGACAAATTAAAGTTGTATAGGGGTCCATCACACATATTTAGTACTAGTATATTCCTCCAAATGAGTTGAATAGTCAAGGGTATAACTGCACATTATCTGATCACAATGAAAAGCAGGATAGGTAATGTCTCCTATGGAAGAGAGGGCTGAGTATAAGAAAGAGAAAAATAAACACGAATTTCTCATCTAACTGCCAGAGCTTAGGAGAGAAAAATTAGATAAAATCAGGTAATTCCCCATTAGGCAGAACTGTGCCTTAGGCTCAGCACTGGTCAGTATTCCAGTTCCTGTACAAAAAGAAACTTAAAGCGTGAAGAAATCAGTCCAAAGCTTGTAAATAAGCATACGGGAGCAGAGCCTCAGCTTGGCATCAGCTGCATTTCCAGGCCAGCTCCTTTTTTCTTTTAAAGGAGGTATTTTTGTCCTTAACACAAGGCATCTTATTAGAGACTTGATTTGGATTTGTAGTCAAGTGGGCAGAGCACGAAGTAGTTCAGATGCAGTGACCAGATGAGTTGGGCAGGCTCTTTCTCTACCTGTCCTGCTGTCCACAGGTGGCATGACCCGGGTGCGTCCCACCAGCCATCAATGCTGCCACCTATGGCCTGAAGGTGCATGCTGCCAGGGACCCCTCGGCACGGTCCTGTTTCTCCCTGACCACCATCTTATCTGCACATCTGGGAAGGCAGAAATCCCTCATACTGTGGTGGGAGCTCAAACCATGGGGGTGAAATCTGCTCGGGGTGTTGAAAGCAAGAATTTGGTCATTTGCAGAACAGCTTTCTCCTCACAGAGAGAGACGCAGAGGTCAGCTGGTGCGTGGGAAATCCTAAAGGGAGAAGGAAGCTCCATTTCCTCACCCTGCTAGCCCCACAGAGGGACGGCAACGCTTGCTCCCAAGTGTGATTTTAAATTAGCAGGTATTAAAGACTTATTTTTAGACTTGGTCAAATTAAAGGCCGTCTTGTTTAAATATATGTGCATAATATTATCTGTCACTGAGCTGAGCATTGTGTTTTCCTCACAAAATATGTGGCTTAGATCTTGGTCTGTAAAAGTTAATGGAAAAGCTTCACTGCCGTGACTGCAGCTGAGATTACCAGCCTATGATTTCTTAAAGATGAGAAAAAATTATTAGCGAACACTGTTGTAGAGAAAACAGATTGGTTAAGCGTTCACTCCAGGCCAAATTGAAGAGTGCCCTATAGCTGCGTGTATTTAGGTTAATAATAAGGCACCATTAGAATATACAGGAGGTCACGTAGCCCAGCCTCTATAGTTACAGAAAAAAGTGTTGTTTATGTATATCTACATGACATTTCTTCAACATTAGTGCTATTTGAAGGTACCCAATGGCTTGGAGAGCTTACATTTCTACCAAAACTAAAGTCAAATAGTAAG